TAGAGTTAGGTCTATTTGGAATCATTTGGAATCAAAAACTAATGTAGACATAGATTCTTAGCGGTTTTCTAAGATCAGAGACTGCGAGAGCTTTTCATTTGGTGTTGTTTGTGGATTACAGTAAAATACAGTCAAAAATCTCTTTGCTAATCAAAATAAAAATAGGGTTAGGGTTCAGATTAGGTCTACATGGAGTCATGGCTGAATAATATTGTTAATGATGTATTCTTAGAGATTTTCTAAGGGAAGAGATATTGACAACTTTTCCTTTGGAATAGTTTGTGGATCCCAGCAAAATATATGGGAAAATTGCTTTTCCAATGAAAATGAATCTAGGGTTAGGGTTAGATCTAAAGTGTTAGTATTCATGGTTAGTATGTCTTTTCTGGCTTACATCAAAAGACTAACCATTTGTAATCTAAATTTTATTCAATAAACTGTGTCTGAACAGATGATTCCTGAGAAATATAGACTTCAACATGTGTAAGCCAACTCCTTGAGAAATCTCTGATGCTTCAGAGGAAGTCATGTGGAGGCTTCAGATAGCCTGGAGTTAATCCTTTGTTCCACATGGATTGCCTTAGCTGGTTCTTTGCTTTTCTCGGGAATAGCGAGTATAAATTATCCCAATAATCTTGTCTTCATTAGCAAAAGAAGATCAGAATTCTGCTGTGCTAATATACCAGACAGTGTTAACACAGCAGAATTCTGATGTTAATCTGCCAATAAGCACAAGGTTTTTCCAAATTTGCCTTTGATATGTGGAAGCCAATTTTGATTTAAAATATTCCAAACGCTTAGGGCTTATTTTAATTACAGTTTTTAAATGTTTGTTTTACTGTTTTTGTTTTGTTTTGGTTGTTTCTCTCAGTATCCATAGCCAGCAATGTTGATGGATCTTCCAGCCCCCGCACCCCCCAATGAATGCTATAAAAGTACTTACCATCACAAGGATTGACAGCTACGGCTGCTGTGCTGCCTGCCGCACATCCAGACAGGAAGGAGACATAGAAAGGAGCCTTGACATCAAGGCTCTTCTGCCCCAGTTTATTCAGGTTGGCAAACAGTGGAAAATAAATAATGGAAAATGGGACATCCCTACAAGAAGAGAGGCACACAATGACTGGGATTTTTGAAAAGCTGTTTCTTTCTGTCCTATAATAGCACTAGTTGTCCACACACATGTTCATTATAACTATTTGATGTGTGCATTGAGAAAGTAATTCTGTTTCTCACTTTATACTTGCATTTAGCTCCATTAAGTTACTCCACAGAGCATCCCTGGCACATTTTTGGCCTTCCTGACTGAATGAAGACTCAAGCGAAGGTAATGCTGCTCATTTAGATCCGCCATTTCCAGCCAAGTCTCTTCTTCTGTTCTAAAATATTTTCTTGCTTCCAATTTACATGCAAAGAAATCTTCTGAGACTAATCAAATCAGCAGCAGGCAGTAGCGATTCGTAACAATTTTAGAAATACCTCAGACATAATAAATACAACATTTCTGATAGAAACACATGATTTCTTTTGAACAGGGATAGAGCCAAGTCACTGTGCTCGNACAGAACCATAAGCACAAAGCACTTGCAAAGGAGGATATGAGATTATGATAACATTTTCCCATCTAACATGGTGGGAAGACAAAGCTGCACAAGAAAAAAGATCATACTCTGCTATAATACAGTATATCTACTAGCTTTCAAAATTATACTGTTAAAATATGAAGTCTAAAATCTGACCTTCACTGATAAAGACTTTTGACAAAATGTTACATACAGGAGCTACTATGTATTTGTGAGGGGAATAAAAGCTAGAATTGTTTCCTAATTTTAAAAAAAATCATGTTAAACGAAGGCCTGAGTTTTCAGAAAAGGCAATCGACAAATGTATCTTTTAATAAACATATATTTGATGCATGAGGGACTTTTAGCTTTCAATTCAGAAATAATTCCAGTGAGAGATCTACAGGATTGTATTATAAATGTCTTGTCTTGGCTTGGGACAAATTGTGTCAAAAAGAAGAAGCTAGATTTGGTTAATGGTTAGGAATATGGTCTACAGATAAGTCTACTGAAAATAACTGTTCAGAAAGGAATAATAGATTCTATGAAAAATAGCTCTTTATATAACCAAAATCCCTAAGAATTATTTAAAGTACAGAAACTATCCCTATGTAAGAGATATTTTGTTGCTGTTACTCAATAAAAGTTCACTGATTTCTGTGAATCAGAATCATGCCTAATTAGATGAATCTGCTAATGGTTTATTTTTCCCAAGTTCTACAGTTATATTGTAATCATTAATTACAAATCATTGTAATTTTCTTTTAAAATTTCAGAGGACAATGTGCATACGAGAAGAAAACCTGACACAAATGGGTTTTGATTGTATTTATTAATTTGCTTTGTTTATAAGATGGTTTTATCTGTATTTAAATGTTGCTTAATAATATTTTGTGGCAAAAAGTAGTCACTGATAGATGGAAAGTATAGAATCAAATTTTACTATTTTGTTATCTTCAGCATTAAACTTTCCTAATGCAAAAGATTTCAGTAGACGCTCACAGAGTAAATAATATATGCTCATTTTAGCTTACACAACAATTTACAGGAGAGTCTATCTCTAGTTTTACTTCAAAATATTTTGAAGTACTAACAAAATGAATACCCTTAAATGTGTATCTGGGCGGTAACTTTCATGAAATAGGCTTTAGTCAGAAGGACACAAAAGTCACCCTGTGATGCCCTTTCCCTGTTAATGTCACCCATTATATTGCTCAGGCTTAAGCTGAGATTTGTTAAGATATTAATAATGGCAGTTAATGTCAGATTTGCATTCACAGAAAAGGTCTGAAGTGAGAAGACTGTAGAGATATTTTTCTTGGAGGAAAATTATTGCAGCCTTCAAATCTCTTCTAGACACCTACCCACCTCCGCCAGCTTTTAAAATTATGTTTAATCCACAATGCCCATTTTAATTAAATAGCATTATATTTTTAGAACTTGAGAAGGGATCAGCAAATAGCCTACATTTGCTATTATCATGTTTAATGGTACTATTATTTAATCAACCAGAGTCCTTTTTGAGCTCTTATGCACAAGATCTAGAATACTTAAGCCGTATTTAGTAAATGAAACGTAGTCCTGAAAATTTGTTGCTTCTCAGTTAGCATGCAGTGGCTAAGACATGTTACCTGTTTAACCCACTTGTACCCTCTGAGTACAGACAAAAATGTGGTCAGAGACAATTTTAAAAATGACAACTAACCAGCATATGATTAGACCTAGGATTGAGCTTTATATTGATGTTACACTAGTGGGGAAGAATATAAAATGTGATATCATGTATTAGATAGCAAGTTTATGTAGACCAGAATGTATATATGCATTTTATGTTGTACACATTGTCTTCCATTGTATGTCCAAAGTAAAAGCAGAAAAAGCTCAAAATCACATCCACATTATTCAATTAAAAGCCCAACACCATTAACTTCTATTCTACCTCAGTCTAATATACACCAGTTCTCAATTTCCCTTCCTAATGATCATCACCATCCAAACTCTAGGTGGATATTGCTAGAGGCAGGGCCTACACAGTTTTCTTCTAAGGCAGTCCCCAACCCTACTGTACCAAGAGGCCATTTTTAGATGCTCACTTCCAGCACATCTTTTTCCAAACAGGCAATTAAGAGAGCTTTGACTTGCCAACAAGTTCCTGTGCTTTCATGCAAATATTGAAATACAGATTGATAAAGAGAAACAATGGAAAGCTCACTGTATAAAAATAAAGAGGAGTTCACCTATGGACATCATCTTATTTTCATTGCAAACTTCAGCCAGTGTTGGTCGTCACAGGCTAAATAGCACACAGCATCACACATTTAAAAATAATACAAGCAATTCATTGTCAGTTTAATCTTTTTGCTTTATCGAGATTATCCTAAATACAACTGTGTTACATGGAATGTGCAAAAGTCACCATAGGCTGCAAGAGGCCTGTCAAAGCTCTTGGACCTTAAGTAGAAAAACTCAAATCTGCTAAAACAAGACAAAAAACTTCTATAACTTAAAATATGCTTGAAGTCACATTGTGAGGGTTTCTTTTTAAAGTGAGCACTTGCAAGTAAACCTTTGGAAATCAAGAAACCTAAGAGACAGTCAATACTAAAGTGATTCACAATTTCCCTACAAGAAAAGAACCCAGCTAACCATGGCTCCACGGAGCCCCAAGCCCCTTTGACAAGCATTGACATTAATTACACTCCAATTAGATTGTCTCTGCAGCATAAGCATGCCTTAAAAATATTAGCGTTAAGTGTTACATTGCTAGATAATATGAAGTAGTGAAATAGTAACACCTTATTTTACTACATCTGGGACATGGTCAAGTTTTCCTTGCCCCCAAATAGTGCTTTTTCTCCTTTTCCAGCAGTACTGCTGACCCACAACTCAGCAGGAAACCTGCCTGATAAAGCATGCAGCTGCAATCTAGTGGCAATTTTATTAATCTGGCCCTAGTTGAGGTATAAATAATTTTCTTTATCCATGCTTTCACCCAAGCAAAGGTTTACTTGGAATTAAGATAGAATCTCAGACCGTTAATCTTATAGACACTATTGTAAAGGATATTAAACATTTAATTCTTTTTTTTTAAAAATGACAATTATATTTTTAAAGTTTTCATATAACCAAATGTTAATTAAAATATGGATCTAAACTTTACTTATTAAAGTGCATCAACTAATCCTAATTTTGTGCTTCCTAAAAACCCAAATTTTTGCGTAATTTCTGATATCAAAATATATTGTTGCAATGAATTCAAATATTATGTGCCATTATATTTCTTGGTTTAAAATGAAACCTTAAGGCGGTATTTTTATTTTTGTTTTTGTTTTTGAAGTGATATCTAATTAGCTGGGTGAAAGAAATATTGCAAAAGAAGTTTTAAATCATGATTAAATGTTTATAAAAAAACCTTAAAGTAAAGAANAGTATGCTGTGTGGGTGACTTGCAGCTTTTTATGTTATTCAAAATTTTCTATCCCCTACTTTGTGGAAATTTCTACCAAAAGAGTCTCTACATTCTAGCTAGTTTTGAAGTAAGAGGACAAAAAAATTCAATTATTGAGAAAAATTTGCACCAAATACAGGTTAGCTAATGAAATGTCTTCTCTACCCTTGGAGGACACAAGACAAACCTCCAAGTGGCCTCAATGACTCTGCAAAAGGATCCAAATGAACAGCTGTCTGCAAGAAATATAAATCCTTCCATTCACCACCATCCAATCAGAACTAAAGAAGCTTCTTGGATGAGAAGTGAAATGTCTTCAACGAAAAACTAAAAAGTCCAGTTGCCACTTGAAAAAAGCCCATCTCTCAGGGGGTTTCTTCCTTACCCCCAATGATCAAAACTGCCACTACATGTAAAGTTGGAAGTCAGCCTTTTATGAATAAAGCAAAAGAATTTACTGCATATTTTTCATTAATGGGAAAACTGAGTTTGGAAAATGTTGCCAGTTTGAGTAGGGACAGGATTGAGACAAAAATGCTGTTGTTGAACTTGTCTAACAAATAATAAAAGTAGCAGAATTAGAAGAGATGACAACAGAGATAAAAACTTTTTGTAATAATTTAAAGTAGGCAGGCACTGCCATGTTGTGTTGAAACTAAAGAAGACATAGAAGAAAATATTAAGAAATTACAAACAGGGAGTAAATAACCAGGGTTACTCTTAAACATTAAGATAAAGGTAATGCCAATCTGCATATTTGGACAATTTATAGTTTATGGGAAGAATGAGATTGTGGAAGATAGTTTTGTCTTTTGTTCAAGAATGTATAGACTGTGTGCTGGAGAAGTAAAAAAAAAGAAATTAATTGTAATGAGAACATAATGACAAATTTAACAAGTTCATGAAGGATAAGCACACTCTAATGCCATTAAAATTCAGAACAGCAGTGTTTTTTTCCAATGATATGTTAATCTGTTAAAGCTGAGCANCTTTATCCATGCTTTCACCCAAGCAAAGGTTTACTTGGAATTAAGATAGAATCTCAGACCATTAATCTTATAGACACTATTGTAAAGGATATTAAACAT